GTTAAACAACAATTGTAATACGTATGTACACTACAGATATTAACGCATTGTGCATAATGCATTATAGATATAAAACACACACACGCAGACACATATATACACAACCACACACACACACACATATGTATCTGTTATAACAAGTTTAGCGCGTTGCCCACTAAAGAAGGAATTAAAAGAATTGGAGTTAGGACCTAGTAAATTGACAAGTTGGCTCAATGCCATCATCAAACAATGTATTGGGGCATATTTGGAAAGTATATATAATAATAAAAAATTGAATAAATAAAGATTATAGCGTTTACAATTACGATTAGCAACAATAAATGTCTAATAGATAATGGTAATCACCACAGCGTTGCAAGCATATTTAGCATCCTTCTATACAAATAAATTACAAATCTATATTGTATATTACAACAAAAAATTGGTCGGCTTGTCAAATTTTGTTAAAACTATAGGAAATTGTTTAATATATATATATATATATATATATACATACATACATATATTTTACCATTTAGTCAGATTTAAAAAAAATTTTAATGATACATACAGAAGGCCCTAAAAATTAATCAAGCTAGATACGAGCGATTGTATTTCATACACATAATTGTTTAAGTGAGAAACATATTACGTTAAACATTATCATACGACTAAATGTATCAGATATATATATATATATATATAAATATATATATACCGATAAACCAATGAACATGAATATTAAAAGACGAAATAAAATACATATTATGGAAAAGAAAACCCCAACTCGTGTCATAATTTCATTGGATAAAAAAAGGTGTTATATATTGTGTTCAATCGATTATTTATAAATCGCATAATTTGTTACACTTTAACAAACTAATATAAAAAAACAAATATGTTTTTAATACATAAACTTTCGACCAACGGCAACAAGACGTCACTGTTGTTCTGCTCCGGATATCTTGTTAAACAACAAAGTGCTGGATAGAAAAAACAATTTTCAATCAATTATTCCTATGGGATGTCCATCATCATACAAGATCTTAATCCTCCAACAGTCATAAGGCATCCATATGCCATTTTGATAAGTTTGAACTTATAATGCTAACTATGATATGTAGAAGGTTTAGATGGTTGATCTGCAGCAAGTTTCATCAAGATTGTAATAAAACTGAGACATTTACTTAGAAGCAGACAAATAGAAAGATAGACAAGCGGACCGACATGGCTATGTCCAGTTGCATGGCAAAGAATATAAATACATTGTTTTGGAAAAGTTCGCTTCACATTATATAATGTGACACAATTTTAATACCCTCATCTAGGGTACATCAAAAATATGGTTGGACTTACCCATCCGAAAGTTACAACGTTCATAACAAATAGGTAAAGTAAAGATAAACCAATGTATATAAAGAGTGCGTAGCTCGTTAGCTAGACTCGGAAGCAACAGATGATTCTTTGGAGGCCTGATTAATCTCAGACATAATGTTCAAAGGATCCTCACTGCGTAAGTAACCATTATGCTCGGGATGCGATTCGAAAACGACCTCGCCTCGTATAACACGAACTCGGGGACCGTGTGCACGTGCCGTAAACTTGACCTTGCCGCACGTATCTGGTCGTAGACGGCGATGTGCGCGCAATCCACTGACCACCACGAAGTTCTTGTCACAACCATAGCACTTGTAACGTTTCATGCCAATGTGACGCGACAGATGGGAGATGAGAGTCTCGCGATGTGTGAAATCCAGCGAGCAAACCTGTAAATCGATAGCATTTAAATAAGATTGGGAGCTTATTAAGAGAGCGCACTTACCTTGCATTTGAATGGTTTTTCACCTGTGTGCCGGCGCTGATGGACGCGCACCTGGCCGGGTGTACGAAAGCGTTTGTCACAGTAGTTGCATTTATGCGGCAGCTCCCCAGTGTGGATCATTTTGTGGATACGCAGGGCACCCACAGTGGTAAAGCACTTGGAACAATCCTCGCACTGATACTGAGCAGGACGAACAATTGGAGCTGGTCGTGTTGACTTAGCAGGAGCTGAGGCGGGTGGCGTTGACGCAAGAGCTGCAGGCGCCACAGGTGCTACAGGAGTTGGCTTTGCAGAAGAGAGAGAAACGGCTTCTACAGGAGCTACTTCTGCTGATTCAACTACAGAATCTGGTCCTGTTACTGTAGACGCTTCTGGAGCTCGCTCAGTAGAAGCTGCAGTTGGTTCTGCAGCACCTGGAATCACAGGAGCTTCCGCAGCTGTAGTAGGCGCAGCTGGGGTCATCTCTATTGGACTTGTGGCTGGAGACATTTTGGATAAATTCAATTCTACAAATATACAAAAACGTTGTTAGATAATAGCAGAGCAAAAACATCATCTGATTTCAGTCTGCCAAAAATTTAAATATCCTCGCAGACGACGTTTATGGGTGGATTAATACTCACTCTTGTAAGTCTTGACCTCCACTTTTATATGCTCGAACTCTGCTTCCGCTATGCCGTGCACTTGGGTCATGTGGTTACAGAATGGTAAATACTGTTCGTAGCAGCGCGCACATTTGGGACACTCCCAGTGAAAACGATGATTGGGATACGTATAGCGCAATTGACGCACTTTCACATTGCTCGATTTGGTGGGAGCCAGCCGAAGCACCTCCAGCTGCGATGGCAACACTAGATTGTTGTTTCTCTTGGGCGTTTGCAATACGCTGCCGGGCAGTGGCAATGTCTGCTCTATGCTGCGTATTTGATTTTGGAATTCTGTGATGATCTTGCGAGATTCGGGCAAGCTCTCGAATAAGCTTAAGGCATTAAAGTAAGCGTTGCGATTTATGGCCGCCTTTTGTGTGCCTTCTGCTTGTGGCGTACTGGGTGCAGTTGGGCTTGGAACTGTGGCGACCGAGTGGTTCTTGGAACCAACGGAAACTGAGCTTATGGACATGGCACTTGGCAGTGTAATAATCTTGCTGCCAATGGTGCAGCTATTCGTATTGACGCTCGTCGGGCTTGGCGCTATTTTAACTATCTTGGTGTTTGGCGGCAATTTGATAAGCATGCAATTGCTGGGCAATACCTTTAAGATGTTGGCTGCAATATTTGGCTTGTTTTTCAACGATTGCAAGACGTTCTTTTTCAAAATATTTTTCTGCTGATTATTGCCTTTTTTGGGCTTTAAAATGTTTGGCAGCTTTACCGATGCATTCGTGTTAGGTATTGGTATAGGCTTCCATTTGCCTGCGGGCACAACTGCAAAAAAAAGAATGTTAATAAAATATTCAGTCGAATAAAACACCTGCCTAAAACTCTGTTCCCAGTTTACAGTTTTTTTGATAATGAGAACCTTCAAATTGTGCATATGACGAATGAAGTCTCAAGCTTCAATCGACGTGCAGACGTACAGACAAATAAGCGGATATTTCAATAGTTCAATATACTAGATGAACACTTACAGACAACTAGACAGACATCGCATGAGTTCAATAAGCTATATGCACAGAGTATAAACATAATAATACTAATACTTATATAGAGTCAAGATCAACCTACACTGTATGGTTGGGGGTGCAGCCGTTGGTGTTTCAGCGCTCGTTACAGTTTCAACTTTTATTGGTTTCTGTATTGCAGGCAAACGCAATTTGCCGCGCAGTTGTCCTGCAAGGCTGTTGTTCATCCAGTTGGCATCCTGGCCAAAGCTCAACTCATCTGCTTCGAACTCCGGCTCTGTTTTGATAACAATATCCGCCATTTCCTGCTCATGCTCTGTTTCCGGCTGTTGCTCTTCGGCTTCCAGCGGCTCCGTTTTAATTTCAACATCACATGCCAGTTCCTCAGGCAATTTGGCGTCGAGCTTGCTGACCGCCACCAATTGGCCAACATTGCCATGTATATCAGCATATTCGACCTGACCGCACACCTCCTTGCTGTGCTGCCGATGCAGCTGCAATCCCTGGCGCGTCTCAAAATGCCGGCGACATACCGCGCAGACAAAACGGCGTACATAAAAGTGGCTGCTCATGTGCTTGGCCAGACTTGCGGCATCGCTACAATTCAACTCACAAATCTGTGTAACGAAAACGAAGAAACATCCGTTAGATAATTGAAAATTTGTATAATTGTATATATCAATTAATCGGCTTAGGGTTGCAAAATTTCTTATATCTTAAAAACAAAAAAATAGCATATAAAAAAGTATATAAAGGTATTCTTGAATTTCAGACTAAATTGTGATTCACTATCTTAGGGTATAAAAACTAACAATGGGCACACTGTGCTTAGAACCCCGTTAGTGACATCTCTCTCGCACTTACCCTACAGCTTGATCCATTTAAACCGCCCGCATGCTTGCGAAATTCGTGCTCCAGAATCTCCTCAAGTGTGTTGCACCAGACGCCGCATCCATAGCAACAGAAATGTCGATTTAGTTGGTGGTTAATCTGGTGCGAGGCCAGCGCCAGATGATTTTCACACGTAAAGCTGCAAATTTTGCATGCAAATGCACCGAAAGTGTCGGCCGGGGCAATATTTTCACAAGGTGACGTCACAAATAACTGTAAGGCACAGAATCACACTGTCACACTCAAAGATATGTTTGCATGTATGTGTGCTGAGATTATGTGCTACCTTTTGCTGTTGATCGAACGTGCCGAGGCTCGCTATGAATTTAAGCTCATCCTCGGATTTGCAGTCATGCACCGGCACCGTTATCATATTTGGCCGCTCTTCGATGATTTTCATAAAGCTGCCCCCTGAAAAACAGCAATAATTTTACAAATAAATTAAAACAAAGCTAACGGTATAGTGCGTAGTAAAAATAGACGCAACACATGCAAACCCACAGCCATGCGCACGCACACAAGCACACACGCACACATAGGTACACAAAGGCACATTGTCAATGCAAAAACACTCATATTTACCGCACGTCATATCCAATTGCGGCGCATCCTCATCCAACTCCAACTTTATTTTTGTATCATCAATATCAAGTTCTTCCTTTTTTATTACAATTTCTTCGTGCATCGCTTAATGGCGTAAAAAAAAAGTGCGCAAAATAAATTACCGCTGCGATCAGTAGATGCTATCGACTTATGTCCGAAAATGTATCGAATACAGCCTTTGCCGCATCGGCGATATATCGTTAAGCCTCGGCTACGATAGCTACATATCGATAGATTTTCATGTGCGGAGCACGAAAACAATAGTCGATATTATGTACACTGAACTGTAACAGAACAAGAGATACTGCTATAAAAAACAATAAGCAAACAAAATTTGTTTGTTAAGCAGATTAAAATTGTTAATAGGCTGAAGTCTTTGTGATTTAATTATTTTAAACGAGGCAGCCAATTAAAAATATAAACAAAATATAAATGTTATAATTGTAAGAATAATTTTATGCTGACATTCTGCGAGCGTAAACAAAACAAAAAAAGAAAAATGAGCAACAGCGAGGATTCACAGCAATATCTCACAGATATGTTAGTCAAAGAGGAGGACGAGGCGTCGGGTGGTAAGCAATTAAGCAATATAAAATAGGTCCTTATAAATATAATTGCTCTGCAGACGAATCGGACCGACAGGATGGACATGGCAGCATGCTGCGCGAACAGGATCGATTTTTGCCCATTTGCAACATTATTAAGATAATGAAGGTGCCCGTGCCGCAGAATGGCAAAATAGCCAAAGACGCCAGAGAGTGTATACAGGAGTGCGTCTCAGAGTTCATATCATTCATCAGCAGCGAGGCCATCGAGCGCAGCGTCGCCGAGAACCGAAAAACAGTTAACGGGGATGATCTGCTGGTGGCCTTCAGCAATCTGGGCTTCGACAACTATGTGGAGCCCCTCTCCATTTACTTGCAAAAATATCGCGAGGTGAGGTGGTGTCTTAAATTAACCCTTTTTATTGTGACAATTTCGACTTACCTAGTTTTCTTTCTCGCTGCACAGTCAAACAAATCGGACCGCAATTTATTTCTGGAGGGCAGCTATATGCAAACCGACGACGCTAACGAGTCGGGCAAGCAGTAGCTATCTATTATGGGGGCCTATTATTTAAGTTTTTGGTACCCTTGCAGAGGCTATTATAATTTCGAAAGAATTGTACACTTTTCCATTGTAATAACAACATAGCCATGTCCGTCTGTCTGTTTCTGTACAAACTAGTCTCTGTTTAAAGCCATCCCTTTGAAACGTTAGTAGGGTCTTATTTTTTTTGCAGACAGTGTGTCTGAGCTGCCGGAATCGGACCACTATAGCTTATGGATGGGAACTATCGTACAGAAGTAAATTTTGAGAAGAAACCCGTTTGGTTTTTCAATCCTAATAAATCGCGCAACTACTGCAAGTGTTTTAGTCTTCGGCATGCCGAAGTCTATTCTTTTTTTTTTTAATTTATGAATTATATATACATATATATATATATAGTCAAGGTTTTACTTTTATGGCAAGTAGCTTAGTAATATAATAGTTTCATTTAATATGTATATTTTATAAGACACCAAGTACTTTTGTATATTCTACAGGTTTACATATTTGTATATGCTTACTGATATTAAAAGGAGTATGATGAATCATATTGTGTTGTTACTGTACGAGTGTTTAACATGATGACATTCTTAAGGATACAGTTGAGTTTTAGCTACGAGAAGAGGATTACTGCATGGAGAAATAGTACCTCTAGCTCAGCTAAATGCTTGCAGATTTCTTAAGTACTTGTTCAATACTAACATTTGGTATTTGAAGATAAGGATAATTCTTGATATCCCAAAAACTAAGAGAACAAATGATTTATTCCCTAGCCAGTCGACAGGAATCACGCTATCAATGTGGTGATATGAGCTTTTTCTTAGCTCCATGAGGCAAAACGAAGAGGAAATATGCCAAAAGATAATTTGTATTCGTTATTTTAATTAAAAAACAAAGTTAAAATTGCCACACAATTTTAAAATGAACTAAAGCAACAGCTAAACAAGGAACATTCCGTGTATAAAAGTAAAATAAGGCTATAAGGATTGAAAGATCACTGGACTACCACATAGACTACATACTACATATACATACACATTTATATGCATATATTATATTAGCTACTCAGTTATGTTTAGTATGTGGGGGGAGGGTTCTACCTAAGAATAGCGTAGACGTGATGCTTAGTTTCATAAATACAATTATAAGAGATACTTACGTATTAAATATTATAAATTATTTGTGACTAACTCTAGGCTAAAATGATGTGGCTTATTAACATGGGGATAGTACTCCAAATTAACACATTATCAAATGACACGGTATACTTTCGCTCTGACTGTTACAGCATCAGATCCTCACACTCCATAGGCTCATCCTTGACGCGCAGCAGCTGGCTGCTCTCTATGGCAGATTCGTTGAGGAATATATTGCTGTCGTTGTGCTTTAAATGCAGCGTGGGCATGGCATCCGGCAACAGATGACCCGGCTTAATGAAGCAATAGCTCTCAAAGTGCTTGGAGCAAATGTGCTTCGAGTCGTCCCACTTGGCGATGGGTTCGATTTTCAAATTGTAGCACCATTTGACTCGCTGATTGCGATGCTCGGGAAAGTCCTGCAGGGGTAGCTGTACATCCTCCACACCGCAAATGAGACAGCTCATCGCTTTGGTGGGCAGGTGCACGGCACAAATGTACTTGCCGGCGTGGCGCTGCTCATCCCTCAAACTTAGCGCCTGACACCACTGATGCAGCAGCTGGGGATCTGTGCGCAAAGTTGAACAGAGATTAGACAAAGCAATATCTTGGTGGGGTTTAATATTTACCGCTGGGAAACTTGTGCAGCTTGACATGTCCATCTGGTTGGCAATCCTTAATGCAGCAGCGTGGACTGCTCGCTGGCGGCTCGGATTCCTCGTTGTTTGGACCCAGATTGCGCGTGGGTACCGCATTGGACATAAGACGACGCACACCAATAAGTTGCGGATCAAAGTGACGACTGCAGATAAGTTTTGTGTTGCGCTGCGACTCATAGAAGCGCATGCCCGTCGCCTGCTCCCATTTGCGTATGGCGCTAATATTGTTAGGCAGCCGGAAAAGCTTGATGCCATCGCCGCGTGGACGACGGCAATAGGGCAAACAGCATTGCTTAATTTTCCAGGGTGGCAGCTTACCCGCCGGTTGTGGTTCGCAGCGTGAGCGATACTCCCGCTTGATGTGCGGCTCAGCCGGAATTTGACCAGTATTGTCATTATCATCATACTCATCATCGTACTCCTCCAGTATGGTGTCATCTAGCTCCGCATCATAGTCCTCGCCCTCACTGCCCGCTTCCACGTCGCTGCTGCGCTGCTGCTCAAACTGCAGTTGGCTTTGCTCGTTCCTGTACAGATCCCGCGGAACATTGTCGCCCAGCTCCAGTGTGGGTACCGCCCAAGGACGCAGCTTACGCAGGCGTATGCAGTGCGGCTCAAAGTGTACACTACATATCATTGTCTTCCAAGGTCGCCGCTCGTCATATCTGATTCTTAAATTGTGCATCCAGCGATGCTGTAGCTGCCGTGAGCGTGGGAATTTATAGATGTGGACGCCATGCTGTGAACGCTGGCGCTGACAGTGCACGAGCGAGCACTTGTCATAGCCCGATTTGACGGGATTATAGATGGTGCCCTTTTCCTGCTTAATGCTGGGCAGACGTAGCTGCAGCTGCTGCTGCGAGTCGCTCCAACTGTTGGTGTAGTTAAACTGATTGTCTTCCTGCTCGTCGTCGCCCTCGTGCAGCTGCAACTCTGGTACCAGCATGCTCAGATCCTCTTGCTCCTGATCATACTGCTCTTGATCATCTTCCACTTGCTCCTGCTTCACTGACAAGCTCTGGTCGGCGCTGCGTTTTTCCTTATCCAGGCGCAAGCTAATCGCCGCAAAGTCATTGCCAAAGAGCTGCTTGGGCGCCCGAGCACCCAGTTTCAGTGTGGGCACGCTGCCATGCATCAGCCGCATGTTTCCGAGGCAGATGGGCTCGAAGTGTGCGCTGCAGATTCGATATCGCCAGCGGTACTCCGGATCGAACGGCACCTGTGTATTGTGCTGCCACTTGGCGCACATGTCCGCCGAGTGTGGAAACTTGTGCAGAGTAAGATTTTCGCTGGTCAAATGATTCGAACAGCCATCGATCTGACAGAACTTGCTGGACTTGCGCGGTGGTGCGGGGCAGGGCAAATGGAGATTTATATTAAACTCCGTCGCACGATCGTGCGGCTCAGTGGGCACTGCAGCGTCTGCCGACGCCTCAGCCGACTGATTCACACTCGCCTGCTCTGGCTGCACATTGAACTCATTGTCATAGATATCCCCTAGACGGCGCGATCCCAAACGCAGCGTGGGCATGGCCCCACGCCTAATACGCGAGCCATTAAAGCACTCGGGTAGAAAATGCAAGCTGCAGATGCGAAAGCGCCACGCAAAGTTGATGTCCACATTTACCTGGGTGTTGTGCATCCATTTCTCCATGGCATCCAGCGATGTGGGAAACTTGTGTAGCTTGAGACTGTCATTCACATCCAGAGAAGTCACATCGCAACCCCGCACGCTGCAGTGTCGCGCGCTGTAGGTGAATCCGTTGCCGACAATACAGGCGCTGCCCACTGTTGTCGTTGGGCCCAGTGAGTTATGTGACAGGGTTTCGGCATAGCTTATAATTGGTTTTGTGTCCATTTGCTCGTATGTGGTGCACTTCTCAACGTGACCCACTTCGAGCAGCACCTCTAGCGCTTGCTGCTGATCATTGGCCTCCTCCTCCTCCTCATACAGCTGTTCTGACTGTGGCTTCGGTTCCAGCTTGACAATAGAGTGCAGCTCTTGCTTGACAATTGGCTCCGGCTCCAGCTTGACCGCGGGCTCTAACGACTGCACTGCCTCGCAACTGCCTATCTGCTCATTCATGCGCTGCCACTCCTCCTCTGAGGGATTCTGATGCAACGGCGGCGCTTCTGGGTCACGTTCCGGCAACTCTAACGTCGGCATACTCCAGGGTTTTAGACGGCGAGTAGTCTCTGTTACGCAGATGGCCTCAAAGTGTCTGCTGCATACCTTATACATATAACGCTGCTGCTCGTAGAACACAAGCTGCATGTTGTCTAGCCACATCTGGAGTACATCCCGACGCGTAGGCATTGCGTGCAGGCGGTAATCGTCGCGTGGTTTGAGTGTCCTGCAGCCACGCACCGCACAGCTGATAATCCGTATGCGCACGCTATTTCGCGCAGCCTCGTAATTGGCGTCCAGCAACTGCTCCTCCGATGAATGCTCTGGAAAATGGTTGACACTGTGTTCATAAAGGATGATCAAGTGCAGTGGGCAGAGCTTGAGCGGTTCCTGATTATGCTGCTCCAGACCCAGATACGACAACCACAAGTTACGCAATGCCTCCTGCTGGGGCAGCTCATATGCGATTCTTTGATAACTCTTCTGCAGCTCCATACACTGTGGATAGCAGCAGTCGTAGCCCATGGCTATTCGTGTGCCTTTAAGCTGCGATGACGGCAGCTCCGCGCTTTGATGTATATTGTCCAACTCATCGTGGCCCAGCTGCAGCGTGGGCACCGAGCCTAAGTGTAGACGGCCATTCTCCATGCAGCTGGGCTCAAAATGTGCGCTGCATATCCGCATGCCTTGCAGCTGCTCCCTGCTCGGCTCGAGGCGGAAATTTTGAAGCCATTTCTCCAAGACCCCTCTAATCCTGGGCAGTCCGAATAGCTCCACATTATCCACATCCTTGGAGCGACCACAGCTGGGCACAAAGCATACATTCACATCCTCCTCCCACTTTGCCGGATTGGGCAACAAATCCAACTCATCATCGTGGCCCAAATGAAGTGTAGGTCGTGCACCCGGACGCAGTTTGTACGCACTGAAACAGTGCGCCTCAAAGTGGCGTTCACACACGTGCACCTCCTGGCCGCTAATTGACGCAACATCGATGCGCAGATTGTAACACCAGTCCTCCAGCAGGGAGGCACGTTTGGGCACTTTGAAAAAACGACAACGCGCTGCATCCTTCTCCCTAACGCAGCCATTGACCACGCAGCGCAACTCATAGACAGGCCGGCTCAGCTCAAGTGTGGGCACCGCGTCTTCCTTCAGCTCCCCGGTATCAGGGTCAAAGCAGTCTGGTGTAAAATGTGACTGGCAGACCTGAAAGAGATGAGATTTGAGAAAATTGACATCGAAACAGGTTTATCAACTCGGAGAGGACTCCTTTACGTGACAATGTGTCTACGCTCACCTGAAAGCCATCGCTGCTGGCCTGCATGGAGCGATGCTTGCAGTTGGCCGCCCACCTACGTATGGTGGGGCGATCTGTGGGATAGGCATAGAGACGAACCTGTTCGCTGCGCTGTTGGAAGCAGGTAAGCACCGAGCAGTAATTGGCCCAGATGTATTGCAGCGCCTGCTTGTTCTCCTGGCTGTCGGCAATATTGCCATTGTGCTTGGCATTTGGTATGATGTGGCCCTGATGGCCCAGATTTAGGGTAGGCACTGCCCAACTTTGCAGCTGCTTTTTGCAAATCGCCTCAGCCGCGAAGTGACGCTGGCATACAAAGAGATTCTGCGTATCAACGAGGCGTGGCTGCTGTTGTGTGTTCACCAGCCATTTAAGCAGGGCCGTCTCGGCACTGGGAAAGCGAAAGAGACGCGTTAGGGCATTGGCCTGCTGGCCGCAGGTGGGAATGCAACAGGTGCGCACTTTGCCGCGTGGACTGGGACTGGCACTAGGACTGACTGATAGAGTTAGCGGCAGCTCTGTCTTGATGCGCAACGGCAACTCAAGCGGCACAGACTCGGCTACCGGCATGGCATCCGAGCTATCCATCATGGTATTCTGATATATATCCGCATCGTTATGGTTTAGATGCAGCGTAGGCACAGCCCACAGCTTAGGGCGTACTGCACCCAGGCATTGCGGCTCAAAGTGTCGCATGCAGATGCGATACATGTAATGGCGTTCCGGATCGTACTTGATTTTGGTATTGTGCACCCACTGGGCGCAGGTTTGCGGGCACACGGGCAGCTTGGTGAGACGCACATTGTCCGTGTATTTGGAGTAGCAGCCGGGCACAGCACAGCGCAGTTTCATGGCCATACTAGAGCTGGATATTTGTTCGTAGGTTTCCTGCAGTTGGCGCATCACAGACTCAGGCAGATCCGCGGATAGTGGCACCTGCTCAAACAGCTGCATATAATGCATGACGCATAGCTGGGCAAGGCTGGCCAGCTGCGGCGGCGGCAATTGCAACCACTGCAGCCAGGCCTGCTGCACCTGCGGATGCTCGGGCAGAGCATAGCAGCGATATAGATTAAGCCGTGCACACGGACAGCTGGGCACCAGGCAGCCACTGGATAAAGCCGAGTTGCCATTGCGATAAATGTTATAAGCCGCGTGGCCCAGCTTCAGGGTAGGCAGCGTCGCCTGTGGCTCAAAGTGCTCCTCGCAAAGAAACGCGTTTCTAGTGCTCATGTGTGCCGGTAGCTTCAGATTGTGCAGCCACTTGCGCAGCAGCAGACGTTTCTTGGGCAGTCGTTTCAATTGAACACCATGCAGCTCCGGCTCCTTGCCACAGCTGGGCAAACAACAGCGTCGTTTAGTTGTCGCCGGATCCGGAGGCATCGTCAGCAGCTTCCTTTTGCGGCAGTGTTTCAGGCTCCAAAGCCGAAAAACCGAATGCTGCGGCTGTGCATCGTATATGCTCAAGGATTGGCCATTGCAGCTATAGCTCAACGGCGTGGCATGACCCAGATTCAGTGTGGGCACCGCATTCTGCTTTAGCTTACGAGTGCCTAGCATCTCCGCCTCGAAATGTTCGATGCACACGCGTCCCACACAATCGACGAGATCCAGCTGCAGATTGGCGCTCCATTTAAACAGCTGCTGCTGATCCTTGGGAAATCCAAAAGTACTCAGCTGATGACTTGCGGTGCGCTCCTTGCGGCAATGTTTCAAGCAACAAATAGGCGTCACATTATTCACCGCCTTTTCGCGGCGTGGCGGCAACTGCATTGGAACAGTGTCTGGCAGCAGCAGCTCATCATCATTGCCAGGTATATCTTGATCATCATCATCTTCATCAGCTTCGAGATGATAATTGTCAGCGGAATTGTCATCGCTGTGCTGTTCGGCAAAGGTTTCCACTAGCTCTAGGGGATCAAAATAGCCATGATCCTGCAGCTCCTCTTCCTCCTCATCCTGCTCTTGCTCCATATCATCCTCAGGATCTTCCACCTTCTGCTGCTGCTCGTCCTCTTCATTCTCATCATCATTTTCTAACTCCTGCTCAGGGGTTTCCTTCTCCTGCTTCTCAATTTTTATCTTTCCCAGCGATTCCAAGCTGCCCGCATCCTCCTCCTCTTCCTCCTCCTGCTGCATTCCTACTTTAATGGCCTCATTGTCAAAGACTACGCCCTCATCATGGCCTAGCTTTAGCGTGGGCACCGCTCCCGTCTTAAGCTTCAGCTTTCCGCGCACCATGGGCTCAAAGTGATCCGCACAAATGCGTCCACGACATTGATCCGGCGCCAGACGCAAATTCACGCGCCATTTCTCGAGCAGCTCCTCGTTGCGCGGATAGCGGTAGGTGCGCAAATCATTGTCAATGCTTCGTCGTTTACGACAGTGCGCCAGCGCACAGGTGGGCGTAAAGAAGCCCGGTATGTTCTTTGGATTCTCATATATGTTTTGTTCCTGGTGGCCCAGCTGCTGTGTGGGTATGGCCCAGCCACGCAGCTGTTTGCCATCGATGCAGCGTCGATTGAAGTGAGCGCTGCAAACGCGCGTTGTCCTGTCCACATCGGCGGCGCTAAGGCGGAGATTGTGTCGCCACTTGGTCTGCTGCTGCTTGCCAGTGGGAAAGGGAAACAGGCGAGCACCATGCTCCAGCCGGCTGCGACCACAGCTGGGCACACAGCACTTCAAGTCCAACACAGATTTCTTGATCTTCACCTGGAAATTAATGTCGAAATGAGTTGGTTTTAAGTAGTTAATCTTTAAGAGCAGTCTGCTTACCTGTGTTGTGTTTGTATCCGTGGCCTCTGACATGGTTATGTCCGGCTTGATGTCCTCATCTAGCTCCTGTTTAATGCTCAGTCGCTGATTCTCATGCACACGTCGCGGGCGTCCAAACAAGTTGCTCTGCAGCTCTTCGGGATTAACCTGATACAGATCTTCGGTCTCTTCATGGCCCAGCTCCAGCGTGGGTATGGAGCCAATATTGAGACGCGTCTTGCCAATGCAAATGTCCTCAAAATGGGCATTACAAATCTTGTAGCGCTCGCGCTCCTTGAAGTTGAGATGCTCCAGGCGAAGATTGTGGCGCCAGCGCTGGAAGAGCGATGGGTCCTTGGGAAAGCTATTCATTTGCGCCTCATCAAATTTGCGCGTTTTGCCGCAGGTGGGCACACAGCACTTGAACACAGGATCACCATAGCGTTCCTCCGGCTTGGGATTGGGTATCAGCTCTATCTGGCCATCATCGTGCCCCAGAACCAATGTGGGTATGGCCCACTTGTACAGGTGTTTGGGCCCAATGCAGTCCGGCTCGAAGTGCCTGTTGCAGATACGCATGCCATAGCAGTCGACGGGATTCATTTTGAGATTGTTGCACCATTTCCAGAGCAGATCTTCGTCGTCGTTGGGAAAGCGGAAGAGACGCACATCCGGCTGCTCCTTGGATGCATCGCAGCCTTCAACGGCGCAGTGTTCCTCGACAAACGACTGCGCCTCATTGGGATAAATATCGTCATCCTGATGGCCCAGCTCCAGCGTTGGAATTGCACCTGTGCTCAGACGCTTGCCGTTAAACGAGTGCGGCTCAAAGTGCAGCGAGCAGATGCGATACTGTTGCCGCATTGCGCCTCTCGGCAGCATGCGAAGATTGTGCATCCACTTGCGCAACTGGGTGCGACTGTGCGGCAGCCGGAAGAGCTGTACGCCCTGTGCCCGCTGTCGACGGCAGCTCTCCACAATGCAGACGCGCTGCCAACACAGCTTGTTAGCCTTCACCTTGGCTGGGTTTTGGTAAATCTTGTAGCCCGGTGGCGTATTGAGATCCAGCGTGGGCACCGCCAACGGCACCGGGCATTTCTTGCTCAGCACATTCGGCTCAAAGTGGGCGGAACATAAACGCCTTTGGGCGCTGCCGACCAGCGGCACTTGTAGATTATGCGCCCATTTGGCCAACGTTGTGCGATTGACCTTGGGGAAGCGATACAACTGGACATTGTGCAGAGCGCGCACCTTGCGGCAGTGCGGCAGGCAACAGCGTGGCACCCAAGAGGCCTTCATTGCAGCTCCGTCAGCGCCAGCGCTACGAGCGGCAGCTCTGTCCGCGTTGAGATGCGTGCGACGCTTGTAGAGCATCTGGTGTTCGGGATTCTCGAAGAGATTCTCAATGTTGCTGGCCAAATTGAGGGTGGGTATGGCCCAGGGTCGCATGCGTTTGCCAATGCAGTGGGATTCAAAGTGCAGATTACAGATTCGCATGTTAGAAAGCTGGGCAATGTCCAGCTGCAGATTGTGCGCCCATTTGGCGAGCACCTGTGATTCTTCGGGCGGCCGATAGAGCTTGATGTCATCTACGCTGGGATTACGCTTACAGGTCTCCACGCAGCATTCACCCTGCTCCTCGCCATTGTTGGGCGCACTGGGTCGCGCATAGGACTCGGCCACCTGCTCGGGCGTGGGCAGCGGATAGGCAATATTCTCGTGGCCTAGCACAAGCGTGGGCACAGCCCACTTCTCCAGGCGCTTGTTGCGCAGACAGCGATCCTCGAAGTGCACCTCGCAGATGGCATCATTGAAAAGTTTGGTGCCATCCGGTACGGGTCGCTGCAGATTGGCGCACCACTTGGTCAGCAGGGCGAGATTGCTGGGGAAACGGTGCAGATTGGCATGATCCCGATCTCGATTGCGCTTGCAAACTGCAACGCAACAGGTTTCACGTATGTTCAGCTTCTTAATCACATCCGGATTACGATGAATGTCCTCGTCATCATGGCCCAGATGTAGTGTGGGCACCGCAAATGGTCGCATACAACCGCCAATGCAGTAGGGTTCAAAGTGTAGACTGCATATCCGCATGCCCTTGTGCATCTTGTCCTCGGGTATCTTCAGATTGTGGCACCATTTACGCATCTGCTCTGGCCGCCTGGGTATTGTATGGAATGTGATGTTCTCATTGTTGTGCCGTTTGCTCTCACAGCTGGGTACGCAGCACACGTCCATGCTGTCGCTGACATTCAGGCCAGAGGATGAAGCGCTCATGCCCATGTAGGATGCACTCAGCTCTGGATCCACATAGTGCGAGGTCGAGCTGGCCGACGATGATGTGGATGCCGCCGAATGACGCTGATATTTATGATGTACATGTTGCTGCAGTTGCTGTTGATGCTGCTGCAGCTGATGCTGCTGCAATTGCTGCTGATGATTGTGGGTGGGCGTAGAGGGCGTCGGTGGTGGCCATAATTCGTTTTCGTAGATGTTGAAAGTGTCATTATGGCCCAGATGCAGTGTGGGCACAGCGCCTGGTGACAGTTTGCGCAATCCGAGAGCTTCCTTGATGAAGTGAGCGCTGCAAATTTTGTGGTTCTTGCCGCGATAGACAGCCGGATCGAGGCGCAGATTATAGCACCAGCGTCGCAGCAGTACTTCATCTCTGGGAAAGCGATACAATGACATGTTAAAGTCCGAGGAGCGACTGCGACGGCAAAAGTTAAGGCAGCAGCGTTTCTCTTCCACATACAGGTTCTTGGGATTGTCGTGAATCTTGCCGTACTGGGCGCCCAGATGTAGAGTGGGCACAGCCCAGGGCTTCAGCCGGAACTTGCCAATGCAGCGCTCCTCGAAATGGCGACTGCAAAAATGGCGCGGCTCCTTGGCCTGGACGGGTAAACGTGCATTCTGGCACCACTTGATCAGGCTCTTGATGTCCTTGGGAAAATTATAAAACTTTAGATTGCTCTCGCCGCGTTGGCTGGTGCAGTTGGGCATGCTGCAGCGCGCCACCTCGCCGGTGGTGAAGGTGTTAGTCAGCTCGCGATTCTGGTACAGATTGGCTACATCATCGTGACCCAGGTTGAATGTGGGCACCGCCCAATAACACAACGAATAACGATTGATGCATCGCTTAGGAAAATGCATACTGCAGATACGAAAGCTGGTATAGCTTGAGGCCGGAATATGGAACATTTTGAGATTGTGCAGCCACTGATGCAGATACTTTTCATCCTTGGGAAATGTAAAGAACTGCAGCGTGGGGCTGGTGCTTTTGCGCACACCGCACAGCGGCACACAGCACAGCGCATCCTCCGATTCGTCCAGCGTGGAGGAGTGTGCCTGCGGACCACCAATTGCTGCGCTGCCACCATGCAACGAATTATCGCTGCCGTAGGCATTATTATAACTACTTTCGTGCAGACTGTAACCAGACTCGCTGGTGGAGTTGCTATAGCTGCGCTCCAACTTCACATTAGCATCGCTCTTCAGCGTCGAAGCATACAGCGCTGCGCCATCCGCATTCGCCTGGCGCTGCTGCAGCAAGGAACTAAGCGCCGCCGTTGCAGGTAATGCATTTGTCTTGTGGTGCGGCGCTGTCACTAAAAAGAGCGTATAGTTTAGCAGGTGCTTCAAATGTTTACTTATGGATAAGAAAAGGGATTAAACTCACTTTCGATGGTGCCCATGTGGCAGTCCTGCAGTTTGTAGTTGCCTTGCTGCTGCTGCGGGTGTTGCTGCTGTGCATGTTGTTGTTGTTGCTGCTGCTGCTGCTGTTGATGTGCTGCTGGATAATACTTGCCACAAAAGTAGGGCGCCGCCAGTCGATGCTCGTGCAACTCTAGTGCCGTTTGATACCACAAGCGGCAAATAGGGCAGTCGTAACGCTGCTGAAACTTGTGCTGCGGCAGATGAGCATAAAGCTGTTCCCGCGTTGAAAACGTTACAGAGCACATCTGCAAAATCAAAGACAATTAATTTAGGCTCGATAAAATGGACCCCCTATACACTCATTCATACATTGCACACAAAGCTATCGTATTCATGCTGCATATACTCATGCGACTCGCATTCGGCGATGTTGTCGAAGTGCTTGCCACAGTATTTGTGGCAAAAGAACTTGTCCGCGCGATGCAGTTGCTTGTGCTTCTGCAGCTCCTCAGCGCCCATGAAGGACATAGGACATATGTTGCACTTGAATTCATACTCGTGTATGATACAGCTGCTCTCGGCCACATGACGCAGATAGACCTGCTTCTTGAAGAAGACCTCTTTGCAGCGTTGGCAAATAGGCAGACTCTCCGAAGATCGCTCAGTTTGCAGCTTACGGCGCGGATAGCTAAGCGGGTTCTATAAAAATATATATAATTATTATATTTTTTATATGGCAACATGTGAAAAGTTAACCTTTTGGCTGCCATAAGCCTCGTCCTTAATTGTTAGCTCAACCTTGGGACTTAGCATGTCGTCGCCAAACTCGGTAAATTTACTAAAATCGGCAAAGGGCGTGTTGTCATCGATATAGTTGGACTTGAACGCATGTTCGTCAATGGGTTCCGCTGCCAAGAAGAAAATTAAAATATAAAATGTTGATTAATATGCAATAGAATTTATCTCAGCTCTTTATCGAACTAATTTCACTCTTGCTGACTTTGCACTCTAATGAAAATAATGTTAAATTTAGATATCTATTTTTATAGCCTTATCGACACAAATTTTATTTGCAAATTTGTTTTTCTACGAGTTGCACATAAAAATCATTTCTTATTTTCTATAGCTGTCTATAAATATTAATATTTTATTCAAGAAAATTTAAAATTCAGTATATTTTTTTATTTGCCCAATTTTTTATGGAGTATATTAAATGAAAAATAGAAAAGACAAGAGAATTTAAGCGAACATCATAAAATTAAAAAAAAAAAGGCATGTAAGAATTGTTTATCTTAAAATTCTTATTATAAATTCAACATGGAAAATGCTTGAAAAGATAAATTCACTAGGAAAATATATATATATATATATATAATAACAGTCTATTATATGCAATAAAAGTTGTGCAATACATTAAGATTTAAAAATGGCAATTGATTAAATTATAAGTAAATACTGTAAAAAAAAGAAGCTAAGAGGAGTGGCATTTTTCAGATAAGCAATACACGGAATCATTGAAATAAAACGAAAGTATCTTCTAGAGAACTTTAGTTATTTTCCAGTTTCTATGGCTTACACATACACACAAACATATTGTTTAATTGTTTTCAGTTGTTCTCGCTGCTTTGATAAGCATGAATACAGAGATAACACGAGCGAGAGTGATTTTCTTTTTGCTTTCTTATATACACACACATAAATCTATAGTATGTACAATATTTCTTAATTTTCCACAAGCGCTTTTAAAGGAAACGCAAGAACAATTTTATAAACAATTCTCTTTCTTTTTGATTATAATAGTTATTGTATCATCAAATTGCTTTCGCTGGATATTATATATATATATAATATATGTATGCCCCGCCCTAATGGCTGTGAAAGAGTATTCTGTGCATACATAGGCTATAATCTATTTAGGAACGTACAGTTACATAAGATTCGAGACTTGAAAGTGAGAACCGTCAAACACACAAACACAAAAGCACGCACACAATCTAAAATCCATCAATAACTGGATGTGTGTATGTGTACATAAGCATTAGGGTTATAGCCGGTAATATAAAGCATCTATCTGAGAATATATATGTATTATATATTTATAATGGTACATACAATATATGCACATATATCGAACAGATACATACACACGGACAGACAAAACGCACTCAGAAACAGAGATACAGATACAGAACGTAGACGAACTGAAAAACCGAAAACTGAGAACCGAAAACCTAGCGAACCCAGCGAAAACCAACCGAACGAAACAAGCGCAAAAAACCTCAGCGTAACTCAACTCTGTAACAAAACGTTTTATTGATTCGGTGACGCCAAAAACGGAGCTGAAATTATGGCTACTTACGCTATAGGAAAAAATATAGGCGCCCAAGTAACAGTAACTGTGTGCGCTCTCGCGCTCACTCACCTACACTCTCGGTCTTGCTTTTGTTACGCTCTGCATGAATGTGTGCGTCTGTACCAATTAAAGATGGGGAGTGCCTAATATTTCGAACTGGACACGAACACGAGCCAGCAATTTGGTAACACGCACGCTCAAAATGATCAGCACAGCACTGAACACTTTATATTTTAACCGAAATAAGTTATATAGGAATCTTTACTTTACAGATCTATGGGACGTATCCATTTCTTTTTATATTAAAATTTCTTTATATGACTTCTAGTATATGCAAAAATATAGCAAACGTGACTTTAATAATCAAAATAAAATTATTAAATAGTAAAAGGGGTTATAATTAATTCTCTATTATAAAAATATAAATAAATTAAGATATTTTCACATGAACCCAAATTTGCGCGGCTGTGTTGAGCGTTTGTTTATTTGATTTTTTTTTTCAGTTTGTATCGTGCGAAAAATTAGCGACACGTGCCCATCTCCACGCCCTACTCTAGTACAAATTGCTTATTACTGTTAGTTTTTGCATGTGCGTGTGTAAGTTTCGGTATGGGTATCGATATCCCTAAAGCTCGATACTTACATTTTATTATCATTTCACCGCTAGCATCGAGCGTGTGACGATTGAGGGCGGGCGCTGGTGGTGGGGCCATTGGATTCTGGAAATGTTGTTGTTGTTGTTGTTGTTGCTGCTGCTGCTGGTGCTGCTGTTGATGTTGTTGTTGGTGGCGTTGTCTATCATCTGGCAGTTCCAATGGCTCGCTCTTGATATAAGGATACGAGCCATGCATTAAACTGTGCGGCATATACGAGCGTTGACTGAGCTGTTGCTGCTGCTGCTGTTGTTGTTGGTATTGCAGCAGCTGGTTGTGCGCATAGGCCACAGTGTTGGCCTCAAGGTTATAGCCCACCCCAGCCCCAGCAGTAGGAGCAGCGCCATAATAGTGCGCGCTGGCAGTGCCCGTGCCGTATGCATTCATAATATTGTTGTTGTTATTGTTGTTGTTATTTTTGCAGGGCGCCGCATAAGCAGCGGCGGCATGCGGTTGGTGGGGCGGGTAAGAAGCAACATGTGAGTACCAACTGTGCTGCTGTTGTATTTGTTTATGCTGCAAATGCTGCTGCTGTTGCTGTTGCTGCTGCTGGTGGTGGTGGTGGTGTTGTTGTTGTTGTTGTTGCTGTTGTTGCTGGAGGTGGTGCTGCTGCTGCTGATAGTAGTGATGATGCTGATGCGAATGCGGTAGATTGTTGTGTTGTGACATTACGGGAGAGATAATCTCAATTTGATTTTGGCAAAATTTTTTACCGTTGCAATTAGCTATTAGAAAAACACCCGCAGTGCAATGTTCTATCTCTCTCGCTCGCGCGTGCTGTCTTTTTCATTTGGCGTCGTCTTTTATATACCAGTTTTTCAGTGTTCTGCCCCCCTCATAAGATGTGTGCGTTTGTGTGTGTGTGTATGTATCGAAATGTCAATTATATTCACTACGAGCTGAATTCAATTAAGACGGCGCTTGCAATCCAACTGGACACATTTTCAACTAGTTTGCACGTGAATACCAATTGGAATTTGTTTCACTAGGCGCGAGCATTTTAATTTTCAACATTTTTTTTCGCTTCGATGTTTTAGCGCGACGCGACACAACAAACTCCTGCGTGCGTGCATGTGCGTACATATACGTGTGTGTGTGTGTGTGTGTCGTGTGGTTGCTTAGTGATGTGATATCGCCTGGTGGCGCAGTAATATGCGATGTTTTATTTTGCGCAGTGTTATCGATAAGAAAGCATCGTTAAACGGGTTAAGATGTAAACAGAGCACATCTAATGCCAATAAGAATATAACAAACATTTTCTAAGATTAAGACATTTCATTTGAACATAATTTTTTCTTTTATTATGTTATTTTCGGCCCGATTACGCCTACTCGCTGCTGCAGCTGCTCTTTCAGCTGCTGATTATCTGTTACCAAATGCTGTTCCGCCAGCCCGTCTAGCGTTTCGCGCAGCTGTTGCTTTACCTGCGTTATGCGCGCCGAGTTTTTGGCTGAAATGGGCAGAATGTGCTCGAATTTGAGAACTCTGCTGGGGCGCAGTTCTTCGGGACACGCGGCTAGACCGTTGGATAGATCATTAATGCTTGGCTTTAGATTTTGTAGGATCTGCTGGGCGCCCTCCTTGTCCATTTTGTTGAGCAGCAGCACGCAGGGCTTCTCCAGCAGCGTGGGATCGTACAGCTCTAGTTCCTTGTTCAGCGCATAAATGTTGCTCAGACAGTCTCGATGCGGATGCCGCGGACTCAGCTGAAAGCCAAATATATCCACCATGAATAGCAGCAAACGTGTGCGTTCAATGTGCTTTAAGAACTTGTGGCCCATCCCAAAGTTGGCATGAGCGCCTTCTATCAGACCTGGCAGATCGGCGATGCTGATGGAGCGCAGATCGCTGTATTCAACGGTGCCGATTTGCGGGCGTATTGTGGTAACTGCGGGGCGAAACAATATGGTAACAGTGAAACAGTAACCGCAGGAATATCATTGCTTACATGGATAGGCGGCAATCTTGGGCTTGGCATTGGAAATGGCTTTTAACAGCGTGCTCTTGCCGGCATTGGGAAAGCCCACCAGACCCACATCCGCTATCAGCTTGAGATCCAGATGCACTGTGCGACTCTCGCCAGGCCGTCCCAGGAAATTGTTGCCCGTGCAGCCACCTGTGCCGCCGCCTGCCACAATGCAGCTGGCCTCATCCTCGTTTAGATCGGCCAGCAGCTTTTGCTGCTCATCGTACACCTGCACACCCAGCGGCACCTCAATGCGTTGATCTACGCCGCGTCGCCCGAAGATGCTCACTTTGCTGCTATCTTCGCCGCTGGTGGCCTGCACGCGTGTATCCCGTAGGTTCTGTGCCAGCTTGCGCAACGTTAGCCCTTCCTTAGCCACAAAGTAGACACAGCCGCCCTGGCCACCGACGCCGCCGTATTTGGGTAAACCATTGCCGCCATGGCCTCCGCGCACCGTCAAGCGCAACGTGTCCAGGAAGTTGGAACGAAAGTGGGCACGCGCAGGCTGCAATGGTTGCTTTATAATTCAATATTTATATCAGTTTATTTACATACTTACCGATTTTGTGGATTTTAATAGGAATTTAAATAACTGCACCATCGCGCAACAGCTGAGCGGTCACAGGACCAGTATGCTGCTCACTGATTATGCGAGCAGGGCATGGGACATTAAGGCTAAATTTATGCGACATTTTTATATGTAAAACACTAAAAGCTAACTTAAAAATAATACTATATTATTCCTACGATGTTGCGTAGTAATAAATAATAAAATGATGCACTTTATTCCATTGTAGTCGAATTCTTTTTGAGGAGCAACTGCATTCGATAGTCATTTCAATTATTCATCGATATAAACAGCTGATTTGAGCACGTGCACCTTGTGTGTTTTGTTCGGAGTTTTTAGTTCCATTTGATGATTGAACCTAATCACTCATATAATTGCTTTTTTACTGTAGAGCTGAGTCATTCATTTGCTTATGTATGTCATGTTCTATTCAATTGCTATTTAGCATTTAATATATCTAATTTATTTGTATGAAGTTGAATAAATGACACAAAAGGTTCAGTAGTTCCTTAACACGTTCAATTGTAGTTCTTCTGAACAGAACGACGCATCTCTAGTTTGCTGTTCTAAAACGTTTCTCTTTTATTTTTTAGTACATACACACGCTGCGAGATGGAGCCGGGTATTTGCTACATTAAGCCAGAGTGGGTCTTGCTATCTGAAATTTTTACTGTGTTTATAAAGCTTGGATTTTTAATTGATGTAGATATTTGTTAGCCGAAGCTAATAGTGGTCCCAACAGCGAAGTGAACGTGTCGGTCGATGGAGAATCAAACAAGAGAAAACACGCGGAGGAGACCGGCAATCCCAACGAGTCTGGCAACAAGCGTGGCAATAAAAAGGAGCGCAAACGTGGCCAAAATAAGGTAAAGAGACATTTCATCTATAATGTATAATTATACTTAATATTCGTTCCTTAGAACCGGCCCGTGTTTAAGGATGAGCGCTACTCACATCTTTGCCACTCGCTGATAGATGGCGCTGGCGGCCCGCCATGTACCGTGCCCAATTGCCGTTATGTGCACGATCTGGAGGCCTTTGTTGCAGCCAAAGGCGTCGACTTGGGCGATGTTTGCTATGTATATGCCACAAAGGGCTATTGTGGGCGTGGTGTCACCTGTCGCTTTGCCAAGGCGCACACAGACGCACAGGGCAGGAACATGAAGGCGGAGCACTATGATGAGCGGGCGGCGCAGACCACGTGCAATGGCATCAGCTCAGGTTGAATTAAAATTAAACTCCTTTTGTATATGTTTATAATCTTGTATATCGTTAAACAGAGCTGCAGGTGCGTCTGCGCAAGCACGACTACGACTTTAGTCGCAGCAAGGAGCTGATAAAGCAGGCGGAAAAACTGCGGGATGAAAGAAAGCAGCAGGAGCAGCAGAAAAAGGAAGAAGGAGAAGCAGACAAGTTAGCAGAAACACCAACGGAAAGCACGCCCATTGGCAGTGCCATAGATGACAACCCAAATGGACGCGATGCTCAGCGCAAGCCTGTCATTGACTTTCGTGAGAAGCTGGTGCTATCTCCGCTGACCACAGTCGGCAATTTGCCATTTCGACGCATCTGCAAGGAGTTTGGCGCGGACATCACATGTGGCGAAATGGCCTGCGCTGTGCCGCTGCTCAAGGGCCTGGGCCAGGAGTGGGCGCTGACCAAACGCCACGAGAGCGAGGACATCTTCGGCGTGCAAGTGTGCGGCAACAATCCCAATGTGATCACTATGGCGGCACAGGTGCTGCATGAAACGGCGCGCGTGGACTACATTGATCTGAATATTGGCTGTCCCATTGACCTCATCTATCAGCAGGGCGGCGGCAGCGCGCTCATGCGACGCACTAACATCCTGGAGCTGACCGTGCGCAGCTGTGCGGCCTTGTCCGAACGGCTACCCTTTACGGTCAAAATGCGCACGGGCATTTATGCGGACAAGAGTGTGGCGCACGAGCTGCTGCCGCTGGTGGAGCAGTGGGGCGCTGCGGCGGTAACATTGCATGGAAGATCGCGCGAGCAGCGCTACACGCGGCAGGCCAACTGGGCGTACATTGAGCAGTGCGCAGCGCAGGCCAGGCACATGCCAGTCATTGGCAACGGCGACATAATCAGCTACGAGGATTTTGTGGAGCGACGCGCTCTGGCGCCGCACGTCAGCTCTGTGATGATTGGACGCGGTGCACTGATCAAGCCCTGGATATTTCAGGAGATCAAGCAACAAAAGGCCTGGGCGCCCACATCCACGCAGCGCTTTGAATTGCTGCGTCGCTATTGCAACTATGGCCTGGAGCACTGGGGCTCCGATACCAAGGGCGTGGAGAGCACGCGCCGCTTCCTGCTGGAGTGGCAGTCGTTCCTCTATCGCTACATACCCGAGGAGCTGCAGCTGTCGCCGCCGCAGAAGATCAACGAAAGGCCACAAAAGTATCGTGGACGGGATGAAATGGAAACCCTCATGAGCTCCGGCAATTCCGCCGACTGGGTGAAGCTCAGCGAAATGCTGCTGGGCCCCGTGCCCGAGGGATTTAGCTTTGTGCCCAAGCACAAGGCGAATGCATTTTAGCGAAACGAAGAGGCCCTAAGAAATTAAGTTTAATTGTTAAAGAATCAAAGCTTGGTATAGCTTGGATTTAGGCATAAAGTAAAGGTTTAGCTCATAAGATGTTAACTAATAGTTTTTTCCACTTGCAATTTATAATATTATATATAATATTGTCGGTTTTCAAAATTATGCAATAAATGCATAATGTATGCTATGTAATGTGCAAGTCTTTAAATTTGTGAATCATTAGTCATCCAGGAATTGAAATCTTCCCACTTTAGGAGTTAAACAAATTTCTGATTGGTCAAAAGAAAACCTGAATAATTTTGTAGGAAATTTCAAAGGATCTTTCAACAATTATTCAAAATAATATTTGACATAATTCCCGTTCCACCCTAATCTCCCCTCGCATAGTATATAAAAAAACGATTATTTATTTTCCAAATAGTATAAAACACACACATCACTTCAGGTAGCTGAGAGCCTCCTCGACATCAGCTTTGGAGCCCAAGAATATGGGACTGCGTTCGTGTATCTTTTGTGGCACAATGTCCAGTATGCTTTTCTTGCCATCGCTGGCCAGGCCGCCGGCAAGGATCATGAGATAGGCCATGGGATTGCACTCGTAGAGCAGACGCAGTTTGCCATTGGGCGCAGATTTGGTGGCCGGGTAGATGAAGATGCCGCCATATTTGATGGTGCGATGCACATCGGCCACCATGGAGCCGACATAACGGGCACCATATGGCTTGCCCTTGCTGGGATCCTTTTTGGCCGCAATGTAGTTATAGACACCCGCCTCCCAATCACTGGCATAGCCCTCATTGATGGAATAGATCTTACCCTTCTCGGGCACGCGCATATTCGGATCGGTCAAAATAAACTCACCAATGGCCGGGTCGTAGGTGAAGCCGTTGACGCCGCTACCCAATCCCAAGACAATGGCTGTGGCGGAGCCGTAGAGCGCATAGCCAGCGGCCACTAGCTGATTACCGGGCTGCAGTGCATCCTCCACGGTGGGCACGCCCGTGCTCTTCTTGCGGTAGATGGCAAAAATGGAGCCAATCGAAACCAGGCAGTCAATGTTGGACGAACCATCCAGTGGATCAAAGCAAACAATATATTTGCCCTGCAAAAATGTGGCGCCAATTAAATGGTTCGAATCCTCTGCAGAAATAATGCACTCACCTGTCGCTCTGTCTCCACCTCGATGACATTCTCATTCTCCTCGGAGACCATCAGGCAGGTGGTGTACGAGGACTTCAGCATATTGATGAACAGCTCATTGGACAGCACATCCAATTTCTTCACCTCCTCGCCCTGCACATTCACATCCCCCGCAATGCCATGCAGCTTGGCAATGCCAGCCTTCCGCACAGCCGACGCAGTCGCCTTGATGGCCGTCTGTATGCAGTTCAGCAGCTGGGACAGATCTCCCGTTGCTTCCTTAAACCTGCGCTGCTCCTGCAGCACGAAGCGAGTCAGCGTCATCGCATTCGAGTCAAAGGCGGGTCCCTGTTGAGTCATCTTGGCTGTGAATTGCAGCAGGCGACAAGTTAGTCAAGGTTTCTAATAAATATCCTAGCTGGGATTGAGCAATATATAGTTGCGGCAATATTTACATTAAACTTGTTTTGTTAGAAGGAATATTATTTAGAAGAATTACAAAACTCAGTTTGCAAAAAAAATTGTTTTTCTTTTAAAAGAATTTTGTTTTCGGTTAATAGTAGGACAGTTTTTGGTGGTTCGATGCGGCTTGTAAGGATATTTTGCTGAAAATCGGACAGACAGACAATCAGACGTAGGGACATATATATATATATATATATTCATATATATGTGTATATATATATATACATTCTTTATTAGCACAATGTAATATTGTAATATATATAATTATATATTTATGCGGACTGGGATGTATTCATGTCATCTTTATCCTGATCAATATATATATTGATATCATTTTCATATCATTTTCAGGACAAAAAATATACATACAATTTGTTAATTTTCTTTAAAATCAACCAATCATAATATTGAACCAAATATATAAATAAATATAAATTTTATGTTATATCAAGATATTGCTCATCCCTCGTTTTCTATATAAGTATTATATACAAAATATATAAAACATTGAATAAACATTTAGTGCACATAGTTTATATAATCACGAAGCTTAGATTCTCAGTTAGTACGAGAGATAAGAGAATTGCATAGCTGAAATTAAATTAGTACATGGAATTGTTTTTCACAATCTTTCTAATCAATTAGGTTACAAAATAGTTTTAGTGGGTTCAGCAACAGGGTTCAACTATTTATAGGTTAGTTCTCGGCTACTTCAAATAATTAGTTTGGCACGGACAAAGGTTGGTTATTTGGCAAAAATTATTTGGGGATAGCGAAGGCAATGGGGGGGGGGGGGGGGGGGGGCAACTAGTTGGGCAAGTCATAAATTAAAACTTGTGCTGCAAGTGGGGGAAAACAGGCAATTGGCAGGCAGCAAAGTGTGAAGAGGAGGAGGAGCTGAAGCAGGCTTTGATTTTTCACTTACAATCACCGTTACTGGCCGCCATGGTTGGGTGTTTAGTGTAAATAATGCGGTTCCTGTGGCTCCTTAAAAAACAACAATGTCACAAATTAAAGGGCAATGTCAGCCAAAAAGTGTGAAGGTCAAACGACAGACAGCTCCACAGAGAAGCTTGAGTGGAAAATTATTATCAGAAACTTGTCAGTTCCTCTCTGCGAGTGCGTGTGTGTGTGTGTGTGTGTGCGTGTGTGTGGTGTGGTTTTTTGGTTGTTTTGGCTAGCTGATAACCTGTTTGTTCTACTTGCTATTTAAGTATATATATATATATATATGTATATATATATGCAGATATCGGTTGAAAAAGAGAAACCGGAACAAGCGAAAGTATATATAATATTTTCTTTTGCGATTTCTCAGAACAGCGACACGTGCCCCTATTTTAGTTTTGGCGCAGAAAACACATGATTTTATTTAGACACGGCACATATATCTAATAAAATATGTATATACGTGAGCTATCTATCTATAAGTGCCGCCCACTTGGCTATAACTTTGCGCTGACCCTCTCCGATGCCGGCACATCACATTTGTGGTGCTTCCTCGATTCTGTGTGTATGCAGGTGTGCATACGTAAATAATAAAAACAATAGTACTTTCACTTACAGCAGAGGCAACGATAAACGTACTGATCAAAACAGACCACGGATGAACAGAGCAAAGGTGGACACCAACTGAACCGCAGTCGATGGCTGTACTGAAGAGACTGAAACTGAGCGATGTTGACTTTCAGCTGGCAATGGGAACGGTGACGGCGGCGACGGCGGCGAATGCAACGTCACAAATTTGTTGTGCCAGACGGGAATTAACAATACAAGAAAATATTAATAAAAGTGGGTATGCGCGACGAAGAAACACCCTATATAACATATATATCTATATAAAGCATGTTTATAAGACAGTATAATAATATGGAAAGTAATAATTGAGATATACTCTGTAAAAATAAAAACAAAACTCTTAATGAAGTTTGATATATACCCTATATGTCTATTTAGAAATAAGCAAAACATGTATTGCTGTAATAGGATTTGGGTCAGACTTCATGGGGCAAACACAAGAGTAACCATTTGTCAAAGCGGGTATACCCTGTAAATAGCAGTTGCACATTTTGAAAACAGAAATTCTATCTGAAACAGAGCTCAAATATTCTTAAGATGTATTATATCAGAAATAAACGATTTATAATGTCAGGCTCAATTACACAAACTCTCAGACATCAACATATACCCTTGTTATATGAAGTACTTTGCTTCAATTGAATAAAATATGTTTAACATAAAGAATATACATTTATGGAATTATATAGAAGCGGAAAATAATTGTATTTATAAATGGCTGAATGTGATTATTTAAACCTCGTAAACAGCTATATTTAAATCTTTGCTTTATCTATCCCCTACACTCATTATAAATTTTGTTGATGACTATTTGAAAGAACCAATATGCACAATGGCCCACAATTAAATAGGGTATTTAAAGCAGATAACATGTAAATGTACGCCTAATCAGCAGGCATGTGGGAGAAAAAGAGCAAGGAACCAGAGAGCGAGAAAGAGCAAGTGGGAGACACGGCAAAAGCATCGGGAGACATAAACAGAGCGAGACATGCCCCCACGCAGGCAGCTTAAGCATGTATATACATATGTACAAGATGTATATATAGTATATGTATGCAAGTATATGTGCATATATGTATATATATATATGTGTGTGTTTGTGCTGATTGAACTAATGAGCAGAGTTGTCCAACTCGCAAAAGAGGGCGTGAATGAGCGCAATTGTAAGTTGTGCGAGAACTTGAGAGATACAGAAAAAATGCGTGAAGTTGAAAGAAAATTGGCGTGCTGGCTTTTAATTTAAATACAACCGTCTTTAGTTTATTTATAAACACTTCTGTTATCAGTTAATAAACGTAATAGCTGTAAAACAGGGTGCCCGAAAACAACGCGATTATTTGCAGAACAAAATTAAATAAGTAAGAGGTTCTAGTCGGGAGCTCCCGACTAGGGGGTACCCTGAACCCTCTTCTTCCAACATCTATATATATATATATTTTTTTTTTTTCTATTTTAGAAGCTATATGTCAAGTTTCGTGACTCCAGCTCTTATTATTTACCAAAATTGCCTATAAAACAGAATATCGATATCGATTTTTATCGATTGTTTGGAAACGGAGTAAGTTATCTATAACTCGATCTGCGCATCTACATCTAAAATTTCAAAACTCTAGCTCTTATAGGTTCTGAGATCCTTGCGTTCATACATACGGACGGACGGACGGACGGACGGACATGGCTAGATCGACTCGGCTATTGATGCTGATCAAGAAAATATATACTTTATGGGGTCGGAGATGCTTCCTTCTGCCTGTTACATACATTTGGATTTTGCACAAATACAATATACCCTTATACCCATTTTTAATGGGTTCAGGGTATAACAATTGAACCCTTGGTGTATAAATCTGGTTAGTCGTGAAACTAACTAAAAAAATAGCCAAATATCATATAAACATTTTAGTTTTTAAGCCCAACGCATTGCAATTCGGTTAAGGGGTTAGATTTGGACATGAATTTCGACTAAAAAATCGCTGTTCATATTTGAATGCCAGATTAATCTAGAGGGAAAACCATGAAGAAAAATTGAAACTTTATGAAAATCGGATGAGATTTGACCGAGTTATGGGGGTGGTAAATTTTGACCCATGTCTATATACGAATCTTGGGGTAAGATTTGGACATGAATTTCGACCAAAAAATCGGTGTCGAGACTTGAATGCCACATTAATCTAGAGGGAAAACCATGAAGAAAAAGCCAACCTTCGTGAAAATCGGATGAGATTTGACCGAGTTATGGGAGTGGCAATTTTTGACCCATGTCTATATACGAATCTTGGGGTAAGATTTGGACATGAATTTCGACTAAAAAATCGCTGTTCATATTTGAATGCCAGATTAATCTAGAGGGAAAACCATGAAGTAAAATTGAAACTTTATGAAAATCGGATGAGATTTGACCGAGTTATGGGAGTGGCAATTTTTGACCCATGTCTATATACGAATCTTAGGGTAAGATTTGGACATGAATTTCGACTAAAAAATCGCTGTTCATATTTGAATGCCAGATTAATCTAGAGGGAAAACCATGAAGTAAAATTGAAACTTTATGAAAATCGGATGAGATTTGACCGAGTTATGGGAGTGGCAATTTTTGACCCATGTCTATATACGAATCTTGGGGTTAGAAATGGACATGAATTTAGACTAAAAAATCGCTGTTCATGTTTGAATGCCAGATTAATCTAGAGGGAAAACCATGAAGAAAAATTGAAACTTTATGAAAATCGGATGAGATTTGACCGAGTTATGGGGGTGGTAAATTTTGACCCATATCTATATACGAATCTTGGGGTTAGATTTGGACATGAATTTCGACTAAAAAATCGCTGTTCATGTTTGAATGCCAGATTAATCTAGAGGGAAAACCATGAAGAAAAATTGAAACTTTATGAAAATCGGATGAGATTTGACCGAGTTATGGGGGTGGTAAATTTTGACCCATGTCTATATACGAATCTTGTGGTAAGATTTGGACATGAATTTCGACCAAAAAATCGGTGTCGATACTTGAATGCCACATTAATCTAGAGGGAAAACCATGAAGAAAAAGCCAACCTTCGTGAAAATCGGATGAGATTTGACCGAGTTATGGGGGTGGTAAATTGTGACCCATGTCTATATACGAATCTTGTGGTAAGATTTGGACATGAATTTCGACTAAAAAATCGCTGTTCATATTTGAATGCCAGATTAATCTAGAGGGAAAACCATGAAGTAAAATTGAAACTTTATGAAAATCGGATGAGATTTGACCGAGTTATGGGAGTGGCAATTTTTGACCCATGTCTATATACGAATCTTGGGGTAAGATTTGGACATGAATTTCGACTAAAAAATCGCTGTTCATATTTGAATGCCAGATTAATCTAGAGGGAAAACCATGAAGTAAAATTGAAACTTTATGAAAATCGGATGAGATTTGACCGAGTTATGGGAGTGGCAATTTTTGACCCATGTCTATATACGAATCTTGGGGTAAGATTTGGACATGAATTTCGACTAAAAAATCGCTGTTCATATTTGAATGCCAGATTAATCTAGAGGGAAAACCATGAAGTAAAATTAAAACTTTATGAAAATCGGATGAGATTTGACCGAGTTATGGGGGTGGTAAATTTTGACCCATATCTATATACGAATCTTGGGGTTAGAAATGGACATGAATTTCGACTAAAAAATCGCTGTTCATGTTTGAATGCCAGATTAATCTAGAGGGAAAACCATGAAGAAAAATTGAAACTTTATGAAAATCGGATGAGATTTGACCGAGTTATGGGGGTGGTAAATTTTGACCCATGTCTATATACGAATCTTGGGGTAAGATTTGGGCATGAATTTCGACCAAAAAATCGGTGTCGAGACTTGAATGCCACATTAATCTAGAGGGAAAACCATGAAGAAAAAGCCAACCTTCGTGAAAATCGGATGAGATTTGACCGAGTTATGGGGGTGGTAAATTGTGACCCATGTCTATATACGAATCTTGTGGTAAGATTTGGACATGAATTTCGACTAAAAAATCGCTGTTCATATTTGAATGCCAGATTAATCTAGAGGGAAAACCATGAAGTAAAATTGAAACTTTATGAAAATCGGATGAGATTTGACCGAGTTATGGGAGTGGCAATTTTTGACCCATGTCTATATACGAATCTTGGGGTAAGATTTGGGCATGAATTTCGACCAAAAAATCGGTGTCGAGACTTGAATGCCACATTAATCTAGAGGGAAAACCATGAAGAAAAAGCCAACCTTCGTGAAAATCGGATGAGATTTGACCGAGTTATGGGAGTGGCAATTTTTGACCCATGTCTATATACGAATCTTAGGGTAAGATTTGGACATGAATTTCGACTAAAAAATCGCTGTTCATATTTGAATGCCAGATTAATCTAGAGGGAAAACCATGAAGTAAAATTGAAACTTTATGAAAATCGGATGAGATTTGACCGAGTTATGGGAGTGGCAATTTTTGACCCATGTCTATATACGAATCTTGGGGTAGGATTTGGACATGAATTTCGACTAAAAAATCGCTGTTCATATTTGAATGCCAGATTAATCTAGAGGGAAAACCATGAAGTAAAATTAAAACTTTATGAAAATCGGATGAGATTTGACCGAGTTATGGGGGTGGTAAATTTTGACCCATATCTATATACGAATCTTGGGGTTAGAAATGGACATGAATTTAGACTAAAAAATCGCTGTTCATGTTTGAATGCCAGATTAATCTAGAGGGAAAACCATGAAGAAAAATTGAAACTTTATGAAAATCGGATGAGATTTGACCGAGTTATGGGGGTGGTAAATTTTGACCCATATCTATATACGAATCTTGGGGTTAGATTTGGACATGAATTTCGACTAAAAAATCGCTGTTCATGTTTGAATGCCAGATTAATCTAGAGGGAAAACCATGAAGAAAAATTGAAACTTTATGAAAATCGGATGAGATTTGACCGAGTTATGGGGGTGGTAAATTTTGACCCATGTCTATATACGAATCTTGTGGTAAGATTTGGACATGAATTTCGACCAAAAAATCGGTGTTGAGACTTGAATGCCACA